AGCAGTGCTGGTGATCACTAGAAACTCTTTAAGCTCACTGACCCACACGGTATGCCTTTCTATTTATCCACGTGGGTGAAATGATTTCGCTGAAAGATAGACAGCTATATAAATGGTTTAAACAAAGAAAGACAAATAACATGCCCAGGTATACTGTAGTTCTGAACACGCAGCAACAGCTGGGGAGGAGGCTGAAAGGTGGGGTCACAGGCCATTTCTTGTTGAAGGATGTGGACTAGGAAAAGAAGTAGTGCTAGAAGTAAACTAAGACTGTGCAGATGGATTTGTGTGGATTTGGGAGAGGTTGTGGGAAGGAAGTGGGGAAGATAAAGAGAGGTAATATAGCCAAGATGGGAAACTGTGGGAAATAAATATTCCAGAAACACTCTGTTATAATTAATAAGTCTGCTTGTGAACTTACTATTTTCATGATTATGCTTTTAGCTCAGACTACCATTAAATAGGACAGGGGTCTTCAAACGTGGCCTTTTTATGACTTGTGGACTTCAACTCCCAGAATTCCTCAGCCAGGGTTTTCCCCCTGAAATCCATGTGGTTTTTGCTTGGTTGGTGTGAGTCTTGACAGGATTTATCAATAGTGGGTCATTTTTCTAAGATGAAGATTTCTGGTATGAGATGGGCTACACCTAAGAAGAATATGCTTGGAAGGCACCTTGCACACAGGAGAAAGAGCCCCAAGACAGTAGTGTGATGCCACGTGCCAGGACAAGACTATGCAAGATACACCATAAATAATGGCAGGAATAATCCAAGGCACCTGATCCAAGAATTCCAGAATCTCTATAAAGATTCAGAATATCAGGTGGAAAGAGGAAGAATTAGAAGTCACAATGCAGGAAGTCAAATATGATATTACTGAAACTTGGTAAAATGAAAGGAAAAATGAAAGGATATAACTTAATCAAAAGGCCAGACAAAAGGAGAGAAAGAGAAGAACATGATATGACGCAGGAATCTGACATTCCCAAATTCCCTGAAGCAGACATTCTCTTTAACCTGATTAGTAGCTGCAGAGCGTGAGGAGTCCCTGAGCCACACTGGCCTACTACTCCCTGCAAAACTACCACAGGAGCTGAGGTACAAAGGCCTTCATGAGGAAGGAAGCCACTGGGGGAGGGGGGCAAGCAGGCATCCCCTTTTGTCTGCAACCTTCAGATTTTAAACTCTTCCCTACAGCAGCCTTCTGCTGCTCCAAGGAGAAAGGAGGCAACATCCAGGCAGTAAAACAAAGCTGGCATAACTCAGGGTCTTCATCCACTCAGTAGCCATTAATTGAGATGCAATGGGAACAGAGAGTAAAGATGAGAATAAACAAGACTATGGTGTCTTTCAGCAGTCATCATGGTCTTATGATTATATGACATATATAAATTTAATCTGCTGGAGAACTGGGACTCACATTTTTTAGTTTCCATAACCTTTACCAGCTCTTCATCCCAAATTGTATTTATTCTTGTAAATACAGAGCTAGAAATACATTGAAAAAGAGGTGTAAGGCGCTGTTTTAACTTAGATTTCCCAGTTAACTCGTCAATGTACTCATAAGAACTGCCTTTTTGGAGAAACAGCTTGAAATCAGGAGAAAAGTGGACATGCACAGCAAAAACAGAGTTATATGTGACTCTGTGTGTACTACGCATGCTTCTCATAATCCCAGAGAAAATTTAGCTGCTTTGAGGAAATCTAGAAAGGTGTTAGGTTGGTAACCATGTGTATCCCAAAGTGCTTTTTTGAGTTTGAATCTGCATCCCAAAGCATTTTTTTCCTTTGAATTTGAAGTCTTACACAGTCTCTCTTGCACGTACATTATTAGATATTGTAATCATTCTGTGAATGCAAATATAAGTTGAATGAATGAATTACAGGTACTCCTCGACTTACGACCACAATTGAGCCCAAAATTTCTATTGCTAAGTGAGACATTTGTTAAGTGAATTTTGCCCCATTTTACAATCTTTTTGCCATAGTTGTTAAGTGACTCACTGCAGTTGTTAAGTTAGTGACATGGTTGTTAAATGAATCTGGCATCCCCATTGATTTTACTTGTCAGAAGGCCGCAAAAATCGATCACATGACCCTACCAGGACACTGCAACTGTCATAAATATGAGTCAGTTGCTAAGCATCTGAATTTTATTCACGTGACTGTGGGGATGCTGCACCAGTCAAAGTGTGAAAAATGGTCATAAGCCACTTTTTTCAGTGCCGTTGTAACTTTGAATGGTCACTAAATGAACTGTTGTAAGTTGAGGACTACCTGTATATGCTCAGGAAGGGGTAGTTTGTCACCAGCTATTTCATGCTTGGCTTTAGGAGCCGAAGAGCATGGAAAGGCCCAACTTCAGGATAAACATCAAAATAAACAATAAGGGGTATAGGCAACCTCGGCTCTTTTATGACTCATGGACTTCAACTCCCAGAATTCCTGAGTCAGCATAGCTGACTCAGGAATTCTGGGAGTTGAAGTCCATGAGTCATAAAAGAGCGGAGGTTGCCTACCCCTGGGTTAGGCCAACACATACGCAAAGTATGGAGTAGGCAGGGGGAAAGGAGGGAGTTGCCTTCTGTTTATTCAGGGCAATACATCAGCTAAGTTGTTATTCTGATACCCTGATGTTATTCACAGCTTCTGATCTAGTTTATAAGAGATCTGCTCCACTAGACTGCAATTATCTTAAATGATCCAAATATCTGAATTCATCTGTATATTATTAATGTCAATGTGACCTTATTTAACAGGTTTAAGCTTTTTGATAATCTCTGAACAGTTTAGATAGGTGGGACTGTGTTTGCTTTATTTTCTTATTTAGAATATGACTCTCCTAAGATGTTTGTTCTAGTTCTGAATTCATTTGTTATCAAAATGCTAGATTAAGAAAACAAACAGTGCCAGTGGCCATTTAGATTGGGATGTAGATAGAAAATAGATTTGTCCTACCAATTCGGAGCGATCCCAACAGTCTGGATTTCAACTGTCACAATTCCTCCATTTGAGGTACGATAATTTAAGTCCAATATGCCAGTTTGGAAAAGTAGATGTTGATGGATCTGTTAGCTCCAGTTTTTTTTCAGTTTCTTATGTTAACAATATTAGGTTATTTTCATCCTATTTCTACATGAAAATAAAGAAGTTGGCACAAAAATGGTATACATATTTTCATATCTCTCTCTCTCTCTCTCTCTCTCTCTCTCTCTCTCTCTCTCTCTCTCCCTCTCTCCCTCTAATTCTACTTAACTAAATGCATCCTATATGCATTTTAACATTATAAAATGTGAAGATCTGCAAACATTAAAGGATTTTCCATGTCAATTTACCTGTTGGTTCAGAAAATACAAATTAGGTATGTGGGCAAAAGAAGTACACTTTCCACCATTAAATGTGGATAAGAATATTTAAAAAACAAACATCTTCCAAAATTATTGATATCTGATTTAAATCAGCAGTGTAGAATCCATATCATAAACAATTGTGAATATATGTGCTTGTGTTACTTCATCCCTTGAAGAAAAATAAGTCCAGCATTTTTGAAATACCACATGTTGCATGCTCTTACCTTAGATAGGAGTGTAATATTTAAAGATTGATTTCTGCTTTGAAAAAAAGAGTTTTCTATGGCTACTGAACTTTCTGCCCTGGTACATCTGAATGATTCTCTCTCTTTCATCATAGATAGATAGATAGATAGATAGATAGATAGATAGATAGATAGATAGATAGATAGATAGATAGATAGATAGATAGATAGATAGATAGATAGATAGATAGATAGATAGATAGATAGATAGATAGATAGATAGATAGATAGATAGATAGATAGATAGATGATAGATAGATGATAGATAGATAGATAGATAGATAGATAGATAGATAGATAGATAGATAGATAGATAGATAGATAGATAGATAGATAGATAGATAGATAGATAGATAGATAGATAGATGGATGGATGGATGATACTGTGCGGCTCTCAATAATTTAATTTGTTTTTGTTTGGTGGATCTCTGTTTAAAAAAGGAATTGATTGTCCTGACTAATTATTTTTTTAATGATGGTTTTGTTTTATTTTTGTACCACTGGAAATGTGAAATAAAAATTATTTTAGGTAAATATATATGAATAAAATATGTATGATCTTTTCTTATTTTCCTTTTTGTTTGATGTCTATGGAGATTCTTAGTCATCCAGATCATCATTGTCCCAAAGGTGCTTTTTCAAAAAGCAACTGGACTTTCTTTGTTTTGCCTTGAAGACATTTCACTTCTCAACCAAGAAGCTTTTTCAGTTCTTCAGTTCTTCTTCTTCAGAACTGAAGAGATTTCCTAGATGAGAAGCGAAATGTCTTCAAGGAAAAACAAAGGAACCAGTCATGTTTTGAAAAAACACCTTTGGGATTTCTTTTTGTTTCCATGCTTGTTCTGCTTTTTGCTCTGTGGCCATGGAATTGATAATCGTTGCATAAGAATCTGTCTTCTCTTCAACCTAGTCAAAATCATTTCCTAGTCTAAATCAATCTCCTGAAAACAACAATCTGACCCAAATTATACAAGTTTCAGAACTGCAATGTAACCTCTGTATTTGTGGAGCTTGGGAAATTAATGGCTTGGCATGCAGAAGCAGTTTATAGTTTGATGCTATGTGTTTTTTAATGAATAAAAATGCAACCATGTGATCATTTGATTTGCACTACTTCATACGTATACAATGGTTCTAGCCATTGTTCTTTTTCTGGAAAATGGCATAGCCTTTATGATACATAATCTAAAGACCTTAGTGGTATTTGAAGCTGCCATCCTGTAGTGGCTTCTTAAGGGCAAGCTTCATTGAACACAGTGGGATTTACTTTGGAGTAGCTTTGAGATAGCACTGTTTATATCTGCAATCAGGTGCTGCAAGAACAACTGGAATGTGAGACAGCTGCAGTAGATAGACACGAACTCCTCAGATATTTGCTTCTCAAGTTTTCTCTTTTTTTCCATAGCTCCTGCCCAGGCCCAGATCATCCATGCTGGGCAGGCATGTGTTGTAAAGGAAGATAACATCAGTGAAAGAGTGTACACTATTCGGGAAGGTGACATCCTTGTTCTGCAGTGTTTGGTTACAGGGCACCCACGGCCACAGGTAAACTTTCTCTTCTTATCATCAGGAATGTTGCTTGGCCAGGTATTCTCAGATATTGTCTGCTGTATCAGTATAGGGATTCTTCTTCCTTCTTCATCATTTTTTAAGATTTTATTCTGCTTGACTCTGAGCTACCCTGGGAAGCTCTCAATAACCAAACAAAGATATTATAGTAAAACATTTAAAATAAAGGGGGGGAAAGGTAGCAAGTGCAATAAAGGCAGGGGGTCTCATTCTCCCTCTCTGAAGGCTCACGTTTTTCACCTTTTCCCATTCCTCTAGCTGGCATACCAAGGGCAAGGAACTGTAGAGGTTGTAGAACCAGGAAACCAATTCATACAAGCCACAATATGCAGATTCCTGGCCCATTCAATCTTGTAGAGTTGGTGTATCCTGCAGGTCTTTTACAATTTTTTTGAACAACAGGAAAGTGCTGGCCATTTGAATCTCAGAGGGAAATCTCATTCTAGAGTGCAGAAGCTACTACAGAGAAGATGCTCTTCTGGGGACCCAATTGATGACTTCATATATTCAAAGAAAGCAGTGGTGGGATTCAAATATGTGAACAACCGGTTCTCTGTGTGGATGCCGCTTCTGGAAGTCCATTCTGGGCCTGGGCAACAAAAAATTATCTACTGGTTCTGCCGAAGTGGTGCGAACCGGATGAATTCCACAACAGAAAGAAACCCATAAGACACTAGCCCTGCAAGATTGAATTGGCCAAGCAGAATATCTATTGTGTATGTGGCATTCAGAAATGTCCAATGTCTAATGAAACAAAAGACATTGTCAAATTCACCATCATGTGGTATATTTCTTCTGTTTTATTTCTTCCACAAAATAGAATGAATCGGTATATTGTGGCTTATATGAGTTGTCTTATCCTACAACTTCTACTAAGGAGAAACATTTAGAAGGTATGGCATTTTGCGTAAACACTGAGTACTTTGCAGGGCCTTCTCCAGTCATTAATTTGCAGCTTTTTAGTGCTCCAATTTTCCAGAGTAACTACTACACAGATATTATCACAGACTGAAGATCGAAAGATTTCTCACCTTTCCACTAAACTCACATTATAAGAGTGACCATAACTTCCTTTGAAAAAGATACTTTGAAATATGTAGGAGAATGTCCTAAGCATCTATTTTAAAATAATTAAAGCAGCTGTGTTCTTTTTCCCCCCAGATTTGTGTAGCTGCTTCAGAAGCTGCTTCTGGCTATCTTTGCATGCAAAGTGTGTATATCAAGCCAAGTTGCTTCACTGGGAGAAAAATATGGAGAGTTATTGGGGGAAAATGTGAAGCAATTGTGCCTGTACGTGCATGTGGTGACTTTTAGGAGCACCTTCCAAAGCAATAATATAAGTGTGGAGAAAATTGCACCTGATTTAACAAATTCCGCCCCAAAGTGCTTTAGATATCCAAAGTATCTCTTTCAAAATATTTTTACAGCATGAACTTGGGCTATTATTATGTAAAATGAGACCACCCTCTTCAAAAAGCAAGAAAAAACTGGCTCTGGTGTAGGAGATGGAATTACAAACCACATGGTCAGCTGAGCTAGCTTCCTACAGAAAAATACAATGGATATAAACTGTGTGATCTCAGTTTTGAATGGTTTCTCTATGGCGTGCATTCTTCTAACATTGTAATGTCTTGGTCTAGCCTTTTAAAGTATCTTCCTGCCTAGAGGACAAGGTTACATAGCTAGAGGCCATCAAGGCAAAGAGCTTGGAAATATATTTCTATTATTATTTAAAAGTAGAGAGAAATAGAAGATTCAGGTCTTTCTGTTCATACCATACAGGAGGAAGACTTAGCATACAGATAAAGAATTTCTATTCACTCATGTCATGGCTGTTATATCCATGGCATCTGAATTTACAGTATAAATATAAATCCATATTTTTTTTATTTCTAGGACTCCCTCCTTTTATTTTGATTTTCTAATGAACTAGTTTTCTTGCCTTTGCCTAATATTAGTCAGGAAGGGACAAAGTTTTGAAACTCGCTTTAAAGTTCATTAAAAAAAACTTCTGATTAACAATTTGAGTGATGAGTAACACACACAGGGACCCACTGGGAACGGGCAACAATTCTTTCCCTCTTTTCTCATCCTCTTGTATCATATCTCTTTCCCCTCTCTCCTGCTTTCTCCAAATCAAAGATTTGCCTTTTAACCTTTGCTTAATCCCCTCCCAACTCTTCCCTCAATTAGTCATTAAAGTTCCAAAATATGGTCAAACTAAATAAATGAAGCTGAAATGAAAAAAAGTGGAGGAAAGATTAAAGAACCGACAAAAGCGGCCATGCAAACAGAATGCTCTTTAAGAGGCTTCAGGCTTCTAATGAGAGGACAAAGGCTAAACAAATCTCTCACCGGCTGCCATTAACTCTACAGGCCGAGCAAGATGGGGCTGCTTAACCTGATCACCCCAAGCCTGAAATCCAAGCCACCTTGCATATAGCCCTGTGGGCAAGGAGAAGATTACCAAAAACATGTGGTATGCTAATATGGTTGCTTTCCAGCTTTGCAGTTTTATAGGGTTTGATAAACAACTTAATTCCCATTTGTCCCTCATGGGTTTTGTCTGAATTTGACAAATTTGTTTTGTTTAAGCTTCGGATTAGCGTCTGCAAAATGGGAATAACTTTGCCTTTCATCACACAGCGGAACATGTGAAAAGTACTTCCAGCCTGAACTGAAAATTGTCTCCAAACCCACATCTACTTTTTTTCTCACTAACTCACTTTTTATATCCACTCACTCTGAACCCTCCAAAATATAGTACGTGAATTCCATAAAAAACAAACGTTAATTGTATTTCTCCTGCTCCCACTGATCCAATCCACACATTAAGCAGGGGAGGGAAGTCAAGGAAATTAAAGCATGTGTGGACCATATCATTGCAAGGGTAGTTTTGTGGCTTGAAAGCTGCTGATTTGGTTCGGACTGACAGTAGCCACGTCTGGGACAAAGCTAGCCAGATTATCAGGGCTAGAGATATGGCTATGATTGTATTGAACCATGTGGGTGGAATATAGCATGCTGTTTTCAGAATTCATAGGGCTGGTCTATCCACTTTTTTTCATCTATAATGACTAAGACTTCATACTGGAAGCTTTCCTTTT